ATGCCAATCAATATCCAATTATCGGCTGATTATTATCGATTTATTCCTTACGCTAACCTTGATATTGAAAAAATGTCTTATATACTTTATATGTATATAGTGAAAGAGAGAGAGAGAGAGAGAGAGAGAGAGAGAAACACTTGTTCTAGAAGAATTTTATATAGTTCGGAATTTTAGCCAGACTTTTACTGCTATGTATGTATATACATATATGTATATATAAACTCTCTTGGTTGAATTGGATTTGGAACCACCTTGACCTACATGGGTGCATACTCCCTCCCTGGCTCCGGCTACTTTAGCAAATAGTACTAATGCCATTTGGTGCAATGTGCTCCAGAAGCTGATACAAACAGTGCTGGAGTAAGCCGTATTTCCTAGGAAATCGTCATGCGTTTATCAGTGCAATAATACCATAATAAACGATTTCCGGCCAGAGCGACTCTGGGATACCCTTTAGAGCATTGGACCGGACGCTGAAGGGAGGCCGCTTGGGGCATAGGTCAACAAAAAGGGATGCCTAACTTACTGACAGATTGTTGAATTAACGACTGCATATACCCTATACTAATTTGATTGGGTATGCACTTAGGGTGTGTGAATTGGAGGGGATTGTTCAAGGCAGTGTTACTTTTATATTTATATCAAATCTCAATAGTATATACCCTATATTTAGCTGAAACTAATTGCAGGGTATGCACGTAGTTGTTAGATGGATAACTTCAGCAAAAGATTGTTAAATTAACTTTTGCTTTTTGAATAACGACTGTCATATACCCTATATTTATCTGATATTGAATGTGGTACATGAGTTTAGCTGTTAATTGTATAAGAGGTGGGGGGGAGTACTTTAGAAAACGGATTTAATAACGGTGTTGCATTGCCTGTGTGTGCAGGGCATGCAGGAGAGAACTAGAGAGAATTACTTGACCAGTTGTATATACCCTATAATAGCCTGGCAATGAGTGCAGGGTGTGCACTCAGTTGCTTGAGTGATAAGAACTAGGAAGAATTACTTAAGCGGGAGTTGCTTCACTTTTGAATGTGCAACAAGCATTGCATATACCCTACAATAGCTGTCCTATTAGGGTGCGGGATGGATAACTTCAGCTAAAATTCGTCGAAGCCAATTGAATTCACTTTTCAATATCGAGTACCGAGTAACGACTGTCTATATACCCTATAGCCTATACCCCTGCAGCAGTCAGCGGTGCAGGGCATGCCAAGCTGGAGTTGAAATGTCATTTGGCATACCTGACTCAGGTGGGCAGCTCCAAGCGCTCTTTTGTTGAGCTGCGGCACTCGGCGGCGGCAGTTGCCGAAAAACAAGTTCAATTCAAATCAAACATGTGAAATTAATTTACACGTTCGGGGCGTGGCGCATAGCAATGGGCAGTGGGCGGCAGATGGAGCGGGCGGGTGCGTAGGGCGCAGAGGGGAGGGAGTGGGATGAGCTGCTTTGTTTGGCAACAGCAGCGGCAGCAACAAGTCAGAGCGTGCGCGACGATGCGTCAGCCAGCAACAACGCCGGCCTTTTCGCATGGACAAGAGAGCGAGAGCGAGAGCGAGAGAGGGAGAGAGCGTGTGTGAGTGGGAGTGCGAGTGGGAGAGGGAGAGGGAGAGGGAGAGAGCGAAAGAGAGAAACGCAAGGTTGACTTGCGACGTTGACTTCGGCCACAAAAAGCCAACTTCAGTGAATTTCACAAAAGTGCGCAAGAATCCAGCGGGGTGGGCTAAGTTCGTTGACTTTGTAGCGCAGTGTTGCCGACTGCGAGTGTGTGTGTGTGCTGCGGAGATTCGCTTATGCCTGGTGATTCAGCCAAATTAAGACTTTTATTTTAAATAATTATGTCAGCCGACGCACACACACGCACATACATACAAAATAAAAATAAATCCAACTACATTGACAACAACAACAACAGCAACAACAGTAACGGCCACGACTGAAACAAACGATAACGATAACGTCAGGCCAAGCACGTTTTGGCCCAAAGGCAAACAAAAACAACAACAACAACAACAACACTTGACTAACGGGAATCCCCTTGGCAAACAAACTGCATTGTTTTGTGTTTTGTTTGGATTTTTTTTCATTTTGGATCATTTTGACAGACGACAACTGTTGCTCAGCTTCTAGCCAGCAGCAGCAGCAGCAACAACAGCAAAACGGGGAACGCACGGAAAAGGCGAGACACGACGACGACGACGACGAGGGGGACAAGGCCGCAGCACCAGCAGCAGAGCGCCCGACCACGACGTCCTCCACAGTCCACACAGAGTCCATCCAAGTGGCGATCGCTGCTAATGCTCGCCCTGGTCATGGCTCAGCTGCAGGAGCTGCTGCGATCCGGCAGCGCCGGCTCTGGCGCTGGCCTGGCCTTGGCCCTGGCCGCACCAGCAGCCACAGCAGCGGCAGCAAGTGCTGTTGCACCACCTGCAGCAGCACCACTCATCGACAGCGCCGCCAAGCTGGCCGCCGAACGACAAACCAGACGGACGCGCCGCATGCAGAAGCGGCACGAGAGCATCAGCTTCAAGATGAGCTTCCAGCGCGAGCTGAGGAGCACCGTGCCGGACTGGAGCAATAGCTGCGGTGGCAAGTGGATAGGTCCCGATCGGTGGCCCCGTCCAGTCCCCGTCCCGCGCAGGCAGAGCTGCCTCCACCACAAACAGGTACGTCAGCCATCCCCCATCCCATTTCGTTCCATACCATTTCATTCCGTCCCATACCATTCCATTTCGTTCCATACCATTCCACTTCGTTCCATCCCATTCCATTTCGTTCTATTCCACTCAACAAGTGTCTTCCATTCCGTTCCATTCAACAAGTCTCTATCGACAACCCCAACACACTCACTCTCGTATCGATCTCATTATCTTTATGACACATTCGTATCGGATCGATCGAGTTTATGCAGTGAAAAAGTTTGCCTGCGATGCCTTATTGCTGATTTATTTATTTGAAAGAAGATTGACAAGACGAGAGTCAGCCTAGCGATAACGCTTAAGCAAGTCCAATGCATAATGCCTGAATAGGAACGGCCAAATATCTTAATAATATCAGCTACGACTGATTATCATATTTGGTCGATGATATTGTTGAACTAAAATAAGACAGAAAGTGTTGGGGGGAAACTTAATAAGTAATTACGAAGAGTCCCAAATGAAGCTATTATATAATCAATGTTAATTAATATCCCAAGTACAGCCTAATGAGAGGAACGCAAATATTAGCAGAGAAATGAGAATGGAAATGAAAGGGAGACAAATAATGAGAAGAATGAATTGGAATACATGAATATATGTAAATGTATAATATATATATATGAATATTAGATAAATGTAGCAATAGATATAAGAAATCGGTGTGAAATAACTCAAATTATATATGTATATATTTTATGAATATATAGCATATATATATTTACTTTATTATTCCCAGTTTTCTTACACCATATGCTGAAAAATTCATGTTGATCAAGCTGAAATCAATTGAGCTCTATCCATCCGTTCGTTCATTTGTCCTTATGCAAGATTGTGTCGATCTCAGAACCTATGGGAGCTAGAGACTTGAAATTGGTCGTGTAGTTCGCTTTATAGCAGGCTCCCATTGAGTTTGTTTCAAAAAATTGATAACTGTTCTCGATTTTTATATATTATATGAATTTTGGTTTGCTTATTTTCAAGTTGAGTTATCAATTGAGAAAGGCAATAAAAAAAAGCAATAAAC